GAATCTCACTTTGTTGCCCTTGGTAGAGTGCCATAGAGTCATAGCTCATAGCACCCTCAAACTCTTGGGCTCAAGCAATCGTCTTGCCTCAGCCTTCCAGGTACCTAGTACTACAGACACCCACCACAATGCCTGCCAATTATTAGAGATAGGGCCTTGCTCTAGCTGAGGCTGGTCTTGAACTCCTATGCTCAAGCAGTTCACCCACCTTGGCCTCCCAGAGTGCTAGGATTACAGACGTGAGCCACTGCACCCAGCTTTTTATAGGATTCTTAAGCATGCTAAACTTTGAAAGCCTCTGCTTAAATCCACTCACTTAGCTTCACCTCAGCTGTTACTACCCTAGTCCAAGCTACTACATACCATCTAACCTCACTAGGTTAAATCCATGAGCAAGCCCCATCTACCCAGTAGTCAGGGGTGGTTTCCTGGGTATGCAATCTGGACGTGGCACAAGACTCCATGCTTGCTTTGATGCTCTGCTGTCACCAGCATTTAATGGCTTTTGAATGGGAGGAGCTGTGTTTTCATTTTGTACCTCCTATGTAGCTGGTCCTAGCCACAGCAGAAGACCCTGAACCCATCCACTTCTGTCTGTCTCTGCTGCATGGTCAAGGCCAAAGCCCCTGCCTCTCTCCAGGATGACAGCCATAGGCTCCTGTTTCCACCACGGCCTTCTCTTGTCAGCTTCTCATGCTGCTAGAGACTTGTTTTCAGACCAGAGAAATGATGTGGCACTACCTCCTACTAATGTTTTTGCCCTTTCTCGAGCCTACCTACCCGCCTAGTCAGCCTCTTATGCCACTTTACCTTTGCTCACCACACTCTTGAGCTTGGTATACCTCTTCCTGCCACATACAACATGGGATCATCACTTGTGGGATTGATTCTGTATTCTTCATTCATTCAAAAACTGCTGAGGTCAGAGACTGTACTTTCTGCTCAGTAATAACACATTGCTTGGGAGTCTTTGTACTGATGATGTGGAGGCATGACTATAGCTGTGCTAGGTCCAGGATGTGTCTCCTCCAGGCTGATGCCCCCAACCCATCCCTCATCCCGGAGACTGACGCTGTGGGTGTGACTGTGGTCCTCATCACCTGCACCTACCACGGACAGGAGTTCATCCGTGTGGGCTACTACGTCAACAACGAGTACCCCAACCCCGAGCTACGGGAGAACCCACCCCTGAAGCCAGACTTCTCTCAGGTAGGACCCGTTTGTGCACTTCCTGCTTCAGGCAGGCCAGTTCTTTGCACTTGGGGGAGTTAAGCCATTTAAAATTGGAAGCCAAGGTCACTTCTTAAGGTTTCCAAGTAGTGCTCAGTTCTTGCAGTGCAAAACCAGGACAGGAGAGAGAAAGGTCTTTGTTCTCTAGAGGCGTACCTTGCAGAATTAAGATTAGATAGGGGCTGGGCATAGTGGCTTATGCCTGTAATCCCAGAACTTTGGGAGGCCAAGGTGGGAGGATTGCTTAAAGCCAGGAGTTTGAGACCAACCTGAGCAAGAATGTGACCCCTATCTACAAAAAAAAAAAAAAAAATACATATATATATATATATATATAGAAAAATTAGGCTGGGTAGCAGTATGCATCTATTATCCCAGCTACTTGGGAAGCTGAGACAGAGGGATCATTAGAGCCCAGGAGTTTGAGGTTTCAGTGAGCTATGGTGACACCACTCAACTCTAGCTGTGGTGACAGAGTTAGACCCTGTCTCAAAACAAAAAAAGGAAAAAATAGGGCCTGGCCCTAAATCAGTACAGAGTTCCACACAAGTTGGTGGTGGAATGAGTGAGGTCTGCTTTTTCTGGGCTTGAGGTGGGAGTTTGGGGGAGTCCTTGTTCTGTGGGACAATAAGGGCATGCTAACAAGGATTGTTATTTCTCTTCCTTCTCCAGCTCCAGCGGAACATCTTGGCATCAAACCCCCGAGTAACCCGCTTTCACATTAACTGGGACAACAACATGGACAGGCTGGAGGCCGTAGAGAGCCAGGATCCTGCCCTGGGCTGCAGCCTCCCCTTCAGCTGCACTCCTATTAAGGGCCTAGGCCTTCCTGGCTATATCCCGGGCTTGATCCCTGAGAACTCCATGGACTGCATTTAACTGCAGGCATCCAGAGTTTCCCTGCACATCTTGAGGGGACAGCCAGGCCTCCCAGAGAGTCATGTGGGGCCATCTAGAGGACTTTTGGGCCATCAACTGTATTCAGGCTTGTCAAACTTGGACCCAGGGAAAGAACAGGCCTCAGGTCTTTCCCAGGCCCAGCCAAGAAGACTCATCTCACTTGTTCTGCACAGGCCTATAAGAAGCAGGTACTTCAGTTTATAATTCTTTCTGACTGTGTCCTTTTTCTCTTCCACACACACTATAAATTCCATTTGCAAGCCACTGTACCACTGTGCTCCTATGAGAACCATTTACCCAAAGTTCTTCCCATGGGCCTCCTTGGCCTGCCTGGAGACTTTCTTGGGCAAAGGCTATGTTATTCCTCTCTCTTTCCAAACATCTAAGCAGATCTACCCCAGCTTTCTGGTGTCACAGGCAAAGAATCCTGGTTAGTAGGTGAACTTTGATACAATTTTGGTCCTCCCAAGAGAATTTTTAGGTCTTTCAGTCCTAGAAAACTCCACTCCCAAAGGTGCAATCAACCTGATGTTGAGGAACCATGGTTGCCCCTCCTCAATCACAGCCACCTTCCTTACTATTACACTTGAGTTTAGCTTCCCCCAGCAGCTGTCATTGTGGGGAGGTGATGTGACATAGGGGCCTGCCATACTCAGTCTGTCTTAGTGTTGGCATCAGAGCTCCTGCACCTCTGACTGCCTGGATGTGCCCTCTACAAAAGACCATGTGACCTCAAGGGCCACAGTATCATTTCTGGCAAGGGAAACAATCGGTACCCTGAAAACCTTCCCTTCCTAGTATCCTCCAAGCTTTGTGCCCCAGTCATCTCGCTGCTATATGGATGCTGTTGTGATTAGGGGTTTTTATATTAAATATGTTTGGTTGGTCTAAAAATAAAAGCACTTCATCTATACTGGCTGTTTCTGCTTTTTCTCAGGTGGCTGAGATAGCTTTGTGTTCTTCTCCTTGTGACATGGAGATGGCCTCTTGCCCCATCCAGTGGACTGGCTTTTGTCCCCTTGTGCAGTGTATTCCAGTCTTAATTAGTTGTACAGTTGTATTCCAGACTGAGGTTTGGGGACTAGTTTTCCTTTGTCAAAATTTAAGAAAACCAGCTATTAGCCCAGGTACAATGGCTCACACCTGTAATCCTCTGGGAGGCCAAGGTGGGAGAATCACTTGAGCTCAGGAGTTTGAGACCACCCTGAGCAAGAGTAAGACCTTGGCTCTACTAAAAAAAAAAAAAAAAAAGTCCTCAGCACCTATAGCTCAGTGAGTAGGGTGCCAGCCATGTACACTGAGGCTGGTGGGTTCTATCCCGGCCCGGGCCTGCTAAATGACAATGACAACTACAACCAAAAAAATAGCTGGGCATAGTGGCAGGCGCCTGTAATCCCAGCTACTTGGGCAGCTGAGGCAAAAGAATCACTTAAGCCCAAGAGTTGGAGGTTTCTGTGAGCTGTGATATCACAGCACTCTACGGAGGGTGACAAAGTGAGACTCTGTCTCAATAAATAAGTTAGCCGGGTGTCGTGGTGCCTGTAGTACCAGCTGCTCCGGAGGCTACATCAGGAGGATCCTAGAACACAGGAGTTTGACGTTGCTGTGAGCTGTGACACCATAGCACTCTAGCCCGGGCAACAAAATGAGACTCTTGTTTTAAAAAAAAAAAAAAAAG